CCTCAGTAATTTTGACAAAAAATTGTTGATTACTACAGATTTATGGAAACACAAAGTATGTACATTTGCTTTTTATGTTTGATTTAGATTTTTTACCTACTAAGACTTGCTTTGTATCATATGTTATGATATGTAAATTTGTGAATATCACTTGGAGGTACAACTTGTACCAATTACCTGGAAATGATGATGATTGATGTAAAAAGAAACAATACAAGCACAGATTACATGTAATTATCAAATGAACTTAGATATTTGAGGGAAATTGATAAAGATACTTAAATTTTGGCAAGCTGGTTTATAATGTAAAATCTTTAGGACTATCATAAATGCATCTTTCCTGTGCCAAATGATGTTTTAAAATAGTTTTTATTTTGGCAGATAACTATCCAAAAAGGGAAAAAGTTTCTGAATACAGGAATAACTTCTGGCAGCATGGGTGAGTTTTACAATGTCTTAAGATGTGAACTGAGGTTAATAACATTGTAAATTTCCAATCTTAATCTCTCTTAGTGGCCAAAGGTTAGGTTTTATCAAAAAGAGTAACAAATTACATTCATCTTTCAGTTTGCGAATTTTAGTCTCAAATTTTATTATTGACAAGTATATTTTGACTAGCACTCAGCTCACTAAAATCTCTATATTCATAAACCTGCATTTTAACTGGGATTGGAGTTAATATTCTGCAAACTGTAACTTTGCGAATTCATAGACCATTGCAGGAAATAAAACGAAGTGTTTCTGTTGAGGTCCATACCTGCATACACAGTTATTTGATGAAGGCAAAAGAGAAGAAAAACTAGGGGTCTTTTTGGAGTTTAAGTCAGGTAGTAAAGGAAAACATGAAAATGAGGCAATTTGGAAAAAATATCTTGGTCTTGTGCACATTTAGGTGTTAGCTTTTGGTAATAAATATTACAACGCTCAATTCATTGTTACACAAAGTTTAAGGAACTTGAGGTTATTTTTTAACTTAAGGGAAAATCCATTCTGAGTACAACCCAAAACAAGACTTGGTGGTTGAGAATGAAAAAGTCCACCCTTTCTCTCCTTAATAATTTTTCTTTTTAAGAATAATGAAAAATGACATGAATTTCCTGCAATAAGCAAAATTTAGGCCATGTAGTATGAATTTTTCCTCCCTCTTGAAGTAACTGGCTTACAGGAATCATGATCTCTTGAATCTGAAGGGAGTTACAAAACAACATACTTCTAACGCCACTATTAAAATAATAATAATAATAATTACAAAAACAATAATGATAATAACTCTTGATTCAAACACAAATATCCAATATTTGAGAGGGAGACCCCTGAGGTTATCCCTATAAGAAGGGCTTCCTAACTAACTAACTTAACAGTTTAAAATCTCCGTAAAAACAAAAATCAAACAAAACAAAGTAGGACTAAGGGGGCAGTAAATTTATCACCCGGTAATCTAATAATGTTCATCCAAGTGAATCTTTGTTCTGTAGAAGCACTAGTGGCTGGCATTTTCGCTGGTTACACTTTTCTGAAGCAGGCATTACACACCATGCCTAGATTAGAAAAAGCAGTAAAATGGCTTTGAACCACAACCAATTCTGGATCTCTTCACAATGAAAGTTAGTACTAGATCAACTTGTGTACCAAACTTGTTTTAACCTGCATTACCAAAAAAATGATGATGATTATTATGATGATGGAAACACTTGTCTAAATCTGAATTAAATTTTTAGATTTTGCCAAATAGTGTTTTTATGTGGCTGGTGACTAAATGTCTCTGAGGACCACTGACCTCATTTTTTTGAGAAGACAAAGAGTATAACTAAACAGTTGGAAATTGTCTTTATACGTTCTGAAAATTTTATTGGGGAAGCCGTAACTTTGAATAGTACTTTGTAACTTGGCTGCTTAGCCGTGACAGTCAGCAAGGTCTTGCTCCTCTTTTATTCGTGTCTTATGGTCATTTTATTAAAAAATTAGGAGTTATTCCAAAAGGCACTCTTGATTGAAAAATTGATTTTCTCTGGTTTCATCAACATTTGTCCAGCACCTGTTTATAAACCACACATTGTGGTTTTGCATGTGCAGCTAGTGGGACACCACTGTTAATTTTTTACACGTCTGAGGGAAAAATGTTTTAATGGTTAGAATACTTGCTCTTGGAAATCTTAAACTGTGGTTTATTGTTAAATATTAATGAAAACTTTGTATTTGTAGTCTGAGATAGAAATATGGAGCATACTTGATGAGGATGATAATGGTGATAAAGTCTTTATTGAAAAAATCAGACTCAAGAGAAGTGAGTTTACAGGCAAAATCACAAATAATAGAGACAATTTGATGTCTTCAACATGATATAAAAAGAGATAAAAAGGGATAATCAAACATAACGGAATATGATCACACAAGTTTAAAAAGATATCTGTTTATAAACGAGTTTTTGTATATTTCAGTTCTTATCTGGGGAAGTTGAAATTCGTGCCCCTTTTCCCAAGTGTTCTTGTCTGTTTTGGCGACAACAGATTTTGAGGTTGATGATTTTTTGTGGTGGTGATTTTGTAAATCCCCAGACTTCCAGGCTATACACAAAGAAGGATAACATGAGGGAGTCAATTAACTTGTTGAGTTGATCTTGATAATAGCTGTAAAGCTTGCAAACCCTCAATATATACAGCCAAGTACTTGCTTGGTTATGAGGTTGTAAATGTGGAGGTCCCAGAAGCAAGGGTGTTCTTGAAATGTAATACTGTTTGTCAGAGCCACTGATGAAGGGCTAATGCTTGAAACGTCAGCTTTAAAACCCCTTGCGGTAGCCAATTTACATTATCAACTCAGTTGGTAATACGTAATTACCCTGTTATACTCTCCCACCAACACAGCAGCACAGTTTTATTAGAGACTTATCTCCTTTATTCTTATGTTCAGTGCCAGGTACTGGATGTGGTTTAGGCTTGGCATATCAGCATTTGCCATGGACACACTTTGATCACCTGTAAGATATGTCACATGCTGATAAGCAAACGTGTTTACAAATAAGTTATGTTTATCTCTTTTTGAATTACTTTCTAATTTCATATGGTCACTTTTAGGAAAACTTTGAACACAGATCCAGTCTGTTATAATGGCAGGGCCTAGTAAGAGCAGCAGCTCAGTGGTTTGCAGTGATGACCCTCCACCTCTGAGTATTACACTGAAGAAGACAAGAGATCTGCCAAAGAAGATGAAACAATGGAGCAGAGACCATCTTCCAGTTGACATTCTGCTTTTGACTGTGGAGGATTGCGAGCTCTTGGCTTGTTATCATTACCTGAGCGATCCCTTTAAAAGCTATGAGAGATCCATTGGATATGTGTATTTTGGAAAGATAGGTGAAGAGGATGGGCCACTGAAAGTTGCCCTATTGAGGTGTTCTAAAGAATCTGCAGATCCTGGAGGTTCTCAAACTGCTGCTAAAAATGCTGTCACACTCCTGAATCCCAAGGCTACATTTTTGGTTGGTTTCTGCTACAGTTTGAATGCTGACAAAGCCCAGTTAGGAGATGTGGTGTTATCCTCAATGCTTGCAACATATTTTAACAAAACCCCAGTGAGTAGAGATGTTGGCAAACTTATCAGAAGTGCAGATGATGGATGGGAGGCACCATTAGAAAACCTAGAAGCACGAAAAGTCAATGTCCATCGTGATGGAGAGATTTTGAGTAGCTGTGATCTGAATGGTGCCAAACAGCAGTGTCATTTACACCCTGGGGCAATTGCAGTTGAAATGGAAGGAAAAGGAGAGAATTATTCTCAGGGTTACTCTTGCTTGGCATTTGTGATCATTGTTTTTCCATGAGAAGAATTACATGTATTCCTTATGTCCAGTGTGATAAAATGTTACTAGGATCACTCACACAAAGCTGACCACCGTCAATTAACTCTTTGTAAACTCTTTTTCATGTGTGCGCTTTGGGCCTAAGCACTGATTGGCATAAGTGAAATTTGTTGGGATTATCGTTCATTTCTCTATAATATAACTTTTTGATCTCATATTAGTGGCCCAGTAACAGAAGATGATTGTTCTCAGTCATTTACAAAGGCGCACTGCGAGCAAGAAATAAATTATGAGTAGTCGTGAAGGTCCTCAAACATAATGTGTATTACATGGCACCCTCAATTTCATGTTCTTAAGCTTTACCCCTGAGCTACAGGGTCAGAAGGGAGCTTCTGATGGCTAAGCTGTAAGGCCAGGTTTCTGAAGGAAGTGAGAAAGTTAGCAATTTTGTATGGGGAGTGATCACCACAAGTGCACAATGGTAATGAGTATTACCGCGTACCCTCCACTTTGATGTCCTTTAGCTTTAGCTCTGAACTACAGGAGGCTTCTGGTTGCTAAACTAGCCAGGAGAAGGGGAAGTACTTATAAATTTATTGTAGGGGGTCAGTGGTAAGCTCAGGTGTACAATGGTAATGTGTATTGCAGTGTACCCTCCAACTTGTCATATTTTGAAGCCTCGCCTCTGAACCATTCAAAGTTCATGATTGTTAGACCATTAAGCCAGGTTTTTGTGTGAGGTGAGGTACTCAATACTATTTGTTCGAGGAAATTCTTTCCTGAATTCCAAATCCTTACTCTTTAATATAGCGCTTCTGACCAAAAAGGTACCCTGCTCTACTCATTATACTCACTAGGAAGGGTGGTGCTAATTTATAAACCTGTAGAAAAAACAACATTCCTTAAAGAAATACAGTGGCAAAAGAAAAATAAAAAGATTGATCTGCAGAAAAACGAAGCCTCTTCTGCTCAAATGAATCGTAATTATCTCTCTATAATATCATTGTTTAAATCCATTTCAATTTTTATTGGTTTTTTTTTTCATTTTTCTACCTCAGGCCTTTTTGCAGCAGCACACGACTTGAAGATTGAGTGGCTTGTCGTTAAAGGTGTTTGTGGTTTTGTACATGGCAAAGCGTCGCAAAGCGTTTGGTTTTTTTCCTCAAACCAAGGTTGTTTATTTCTGAAATGTGCACAAACTATGGCTGATAGATTCGTTTTGCTTACAGATACAGACGTAGAAAAATTTATCGACATTGAAGAAAACAGAAACACAGAAAGAAAAACCGAAGGGGACTTGAGTTTGGTTATGGTGTTTCTCGCGAGGGAGAAAGAGAATCGAAAAATTGAAGATCTGCCACCGGCCGAATTAGATACCTACCTGAGCAGATTTCTGCTATCGGAACGGAAAAAGTCTGGCGAAGAGTACAAACCAGCAACTCTTAAAGGAATCATTTCTTCGGTTGAACGCTATCTGAAAAAACGGGGCTACAGCGACTCAATAATCACGGGTCAACCGTTCGCCAAAACGCGAGATGCATTGAAGTCAAAACAGAAACAGCTGAAATGGCTTGGCAAAGGAAATAAACCAAAAGATGCAGCTAGTTTCGACCAAGAGGAGATTGATCTACTTTTCAGGAATGGAGTCATGGGAATTCATACGCCTCAAGCACTCATTAACACGCTGTGGTTCAACAACTGTTTACACTTCAACATAAGAGGAGGAAAAGCGCATCGCAACCTGAGATGGGGAGATGTTGTCTTCAAAACCGACTGTAATGGTAAAGGATATCTTGAATACTCAGCTGAAAGACAAAAAAGAACAAGACCTGGCGATAATTCACTAGACAGAAGACAAATCAAGCCTCAAATCTACGAGAACCTTACAGTGCCCAACGAGCGAAATCCCGTTTCAGCATTCAAATTGTACATGACTAAACGGCCAAAGGAAACTCTCGTCGATGGGTCGCCATTCTACCTAACGATAAACCATCTTAGCAAAGAAAAGTTGGCCTTATCAGGTGCGAAATGGTTCAAGTCTCAACCTATGGGAGCGAACAAACTAAATACTTTGATGAGAGAATGTGCGAAGGCAGCTGGTCTTGACACAAATAAGCAAATCACCAACCATAATGCAAAGGAAACGCTTTGTCTAGATAACTGGCCAAAAGAATCCTCAGTCTATCAGTAACTACAGCTTATTGGGAGAAAAGTAGCAAATGGCAAATTCAACCCTCCTGTCGACAACATGTTCAAGCACTTCTGTCTCGCAGCAGCTTCAATCGCAAACAGTGCCGCAGCCGGTGATACAACAAGAATTTTCTGGCAGGTTCGTGCCCGATGAAGTTAATTGTTTTAAATCTCTCTTTCAAGGAAATTATATTTGTGGAGGAACATTTAACGTTCATAAGACATAGTTTGATGCTACACTGGTTTGCAGATTTAATGAATGTAACCGAAGAAGTTACAATTCATAGACCCAACGTTTCGACACTCCTGTCTAGTGCCTTCAGGGGTGAACTAAACCCTGCAACAAGAGTTCCTTTTATATGATCACTAATTAGCGGCCTTTTTTTTTTTTTTTTTTCTGACGAGGTGTAAATAGGCGTCAGGAAGCAGACCGCCATCGTCACGATTTAAAGGAGCGTGGGCGGAGTTAATGTGCCAAGCCTCCAAACAAAGGCGCTGGTGGTAACGCCGGTTAGTGGTGATCATTTTAGAATTATCCCACCCAATTGTATGGTTGGTTAGGCAAGTATGCTCCGATAAAGCTGAATTTTCCTTTTTGCAAAGAAAAACCGATTCGAAGGCTGAGGAGAGGAAATATGTTTCCAATGTCCTAAAGGCAAATGGCTATACAAAAACTTTTCTCCGTAACTGCCAAAAACCGGTTACAAATAGTAACGCTCTTGATGAAAGGGAACCAGCGACTGGTTTTGCTGTTATTCCTTACATACAGGGTGTTACTGAACCATTCAAGAGAATTTTGAATAGCCACAACGTTAAAGTTGCTCAAAAACCTTTTCAGACTTTGGGGCATATTTTCGCCAAACCTAAGGATCCTGTCACGAAAGAACAACGAACCGACGCCATTTATTCTATTCCTTGCAATGACTGTGACAACGAATACATCGGACAGACCAAACGCCAGTTTGGTACACGGTTAAAAGAGCACCAAAAAGCGGTTTTTCTTTGCAAAAAGGAAAATTCAGCTTTATCGGAGCATACTTGCCTAACCGACCATACAATTGGGTGGGATAATTCTAAAATGATCACCACTAATCGGCGTTACCACCAGCGCCTTTGTTTGGAGGCTTGGCACATTAACTCCGCCCACGCTCCTTTAAATCGTGACGATGGCGGTCTGCTTCCTGACGCCTATTTACACCTCGTCAGAAAAAAAGGTCGCTAATTAGTGATCATATAAAAGGACCTCTTGTTGCAGCGTTTAGATCACCCCTGATGAAGGCACTAGACAGGAGTGTCGAAACGTTGGGTCTATGAATTGTAACTTCTTCGGTTACATTCATTAAATCTGCAAACCAGTGTAGCATCAAACTATGTCTTATTGTCCACCTGGTTGCCGTGTGAACTTTAATATATTTAACGTTCATGTTTCAAGTTCAGCTTCCACCAGTACGATGGTCAAGGAAAGTCCATAAAGGAAGAAAAAGTTTCGGAGACTGCAAGTGTTGGACAGTCAGGAAAGCAGCTAAGAACTTTTGTGGTTTATAGTTAAAACAGATAACTGATCATTTTTTGAGTTAAAAGTTACACCCATCGTTTTTGTTTTTTTTTTTTTTGTATTCTTGTAATAATAATTCACAGCGTTTTTAAATCTTGATCCTTATTACTAACGCTTTTTTCGCGGATAGTGGATCGTAAATGTTCGTTTACATTTTTTCATTTATTTATAAAGTCGACTTTTCCTGGAAAGTAAAGCGCTATTGTGCTTATCTGATGAATGAAATGATAAATTGTTGCTTGGTAGCGCGCTCATGTATTATTCTTTATTTATCATTTAAACTACGGTGTTATACAAGGATTTCCAGCCTTGAGAAAAGTCGTAACAACACACGTGAAAAAATACGATAATTTTTTACGTGTGTTTGATATCACCAATCAGCTGCTGTCACTTACCTTTCGCGCCACTCGGTCAGGTTAATGAATGAACGGCTAAGTCTTCGCCATTCTCAATCCATGGTCGTTTGTCAGAGTTCTTTCGGAGTATAGCTGCTAAAATACTAAAAAATCCGTACAGACAGTGACGTTCAAAATTTGCAAGAAGGGGAGGAAAACAAAAATTCAAAATAACTGAGAAATTTTTATATTGAAAATTAGGCCCACATTTTGTTTCTGTAGTGATTCAACGCATGTTTTCATCTTGAGTGCGCCAACGTACTTTATGATTTTTATTCGTAGTGTCGATCCTTTCATTTTCATTCATCAATAAAGTCGACTTTTCTCGTCAATAAAGAGCTATTGTGTTTATATGATAAACAAAATAATACATGGTTGCTTGTAGATATGAAATGTCTCTTCTCGTGTTCAACTAGACATCTCCCTCGTTCGCTGCGATCGCGCGTGGGCTATCGATTTAAGCACTCGAAGAGAAATCCCATATCTACGCGCGCTAGTATTCTCTATTTATCTCAATGTCCCCCCACCGACGTGGCACAAAAGTTGAGTTAGAGATGTCTATCTAGCTATCTAACCAACTATTTATCTTTCCATTCTAATTTTATTAATCCATTCATCAACCGAGCATAAGCCAGCGTAGACGATGAGTAATCGGTTATTTCTGTGAATTTTGTGTCTATCGCATGAGCAAAAACTTGCAAAATTGAGGCAAGCCCGTGTACATTTATGTTTCCATGTCTTAGACATTGGTGATAAAAATAAGTTTTTTTAGGGCTATCTGTTTAGCTGCTTTGTACTCCGTGCAAGTCTAAATATCGCAAGATAATTATTCTTAAGCATCACAACGGTCCTGAATCCTAAATCCTCGAATCTAATTGGCTAATTCCGGACCACTCCAAGTTTTCACTCCTAAGTGAGCTTACGAGAGACGTAAACATTGTAACAACTGACTCGCAGTAAGAAATTCCGACAACGAAAGCTACAAAGCGAAAGCGAATATTATTACATTGAAGTGAATAATAAAGAAGATTTTTTGCTGTGGTTCACAGGCGTCAGATGGTGACAAACACTTATATATATAACTATATCGTACAATGTAAACGAAAGATTAATGAAATTTCCGTTGTTGTCCAAAAGAAACAAGTTCCCATTAAGTAAATGAAGGAACCATTGGATATCGGCCAGGTTGCACAACCGAGAGCAAACATTCTGCAGAGCTACAGAGGGAGGCTTGGTTTGACCACGGCCGCTCTTTTGGTAGTCTTGGAACGGATAGAATCAACGCCAGCTATCGCCAACAGGGCTGTCTTTACGGAACACTTCCCCAAGGAACTAAGTATTTTAAGCTGAACCGATGTCAGCACTGCTCTTTAGCAGCTACGCAAAGGAGAGGTGCCGGAGATGGATCGTGATAGATTATAGCACACTCTCTGCGGAGTCGATTACTTCTCTGTAAAATTTCTCACTCTACCAAGTTGTCAAAAGGCGCGCACATCGAGGCACTAACCTCCAAGTATCCAATCTTTCCAGAATTGGATGAGGTTTAGTTGAACAAGTACTTCATGCGCGCTTGCTGGTAATGAGATAGGTTACAGCAAACTCGGCGTGATGTGTATTTCTGGGTATCTTCAATCTTATCCAACGCACGCTTATGAGACAATTGTGCAATATTAGTATAATATTAGACAGTTGAGAACTCGTTGATCGTCTTCCGATGGAAACGTTTCTCCTTCTTTCCTAAGAATCGTTACCGTAAGACCTTTTTACTTTAGGTCAACGTACGAGTAACGCACTGGATTTGTTCTGAGCATCTTTTAGGGACCAACCATGACTTATCGCCGTGAGGGGGGTGGAGGATTTTGGGATCACATGATTTTAAGGGGGCAACGGAGGGGTTGTTGAAGGCCTAAATGTAATAACTGTCCCAATTGTAGTAGTCCTAAATGCAATAACATTTGGTTCTAAATGTAATAAAATTTAGTCCTAAATGTAATAAGCCTCCGATACAATCGTTTATCTCCTTCAGTGCATTGTTGTTGTGGCGGACATCCACATTGAGAT